GGTGTTTCTTGTACAGTCATTTCCGTGCAGACGAATGCGCCGGTCTGTGTCTGGTCATCACAGACGCGTCCTTCCCCTCGACTCCAGGTCAATGTTTGATAAAGCACTCAAGCCAAAGCCCCTCTCCACACCGTCAAAACGCCCACAATCCCATTCAACTTCTTTTGTAGCAAACGCCTGCCTGCCGTTAGACGCATCTCGCCGTATCGAATTCATGGCTTCTTCTTCTTCTTTCTTTCTTTTTTCCTTTCTCGTCATTTTTCTCCGTCTGTCACATCGCCCTGACCATTTCTCACTGCGATGCCGCCGCCGCCGCCGGCCCCGCCGCGACGCCGACGTCCTTCTCCCACGGCTTCTTCCGCTTCGACGCCGCGGGCGCCGTGCCCTGGCCCTCGAGCACCGTGTCCGGAATCTCCTTGATGCCCGGGATGGGCTGGCCCGTCGTGATCAGCTCGACGATGTGCGCGAACGACGTCGGGTACGGCGCTTCTTGTTGCTGGCCCTCTGCGGCGGAGGTGGTGGTGGTGGCCGGTGCGGATGTCGGCGGGGCGGAGGCGGAGGCGGAAGAGGATGTCGCGCCGCCGCCGTGCGGGGGAGGCGGGGGAGGGGTTTGGGAGGGAGAGGGCGTGGCGGGGAGGAGGTCGACGGGGTTGAGGCCGTTGGGGGCGGTGGTGGGGACGGCGGAGGGGGAGGGCACGTTCGCGCGGTAGGCTTTGTAGGCGTCGAAGTCGACGGCGGTGTTGAATTTGCTGGGTTAGGGGGGGTTAGTGACAATGGACGATTGGGGATTGGGAGAGAGGGGTAGTCATTAAAGATGGTGAAGCATGGTGCAATGATGCTAGCTTGAGGACGACCATAGCGACGAGGAAGCTCCAATGGCGGGGTATAATGCGGGGAAACATTGAGGTTGGGTGATGGAGCATACCGGGAATAGTAGAAGCAGCGTGCGCGGAGAGCCAGCTCCACTGCTTGTTCTGAAGATGCAGTGGAGCCTAGGATAGCTCCGAGACCGCTTTGAAACTCCGCATCCGTGTCCCACGGGTAGTTGTCGACCTGGGCGTAGATGGAATCGGGTGCGGAGAAAGAGTCTGGGGCAGCTGCCATGGCGCGAATTCTCGGAGATGGACGGCAGGATTCTTGCGGAGTAGTAGAAGTATTAGAGAAGGCGTGAGCAGTCGCGGGGCATCAGCAGTTGTGCAAGGAAGCGGGGGAGTGGGAGAGCTCGCACCCATGGGGCACATCAAGTCTTGGCGCGTCTTACGTAATGCCGCCGCCAGCTCCTCGCGGCTCACCTCTCGCCGACCTTCACCCCAGCGTCACAACACCCGCTATCTACATCCGCCCCCATCTGCCCCCCGCGCCACCCTCTCCAGCTTCAACTCCATCTTGCCTCATCCACGGCCACCATTGACCGGAGCTCCTGGGTTGCGCGCGCTGCTGCCAACTTGCACCTAGCTCAGCCCCACAATGTCTGAGTACATCGGGTATGTCGCCGTCAAGCTGCGCCATGGCCAGATCAATGGCAGCTAACATGGCGTCGCAGTGCCCAGATATCTCTGGTATCCAAGAGTGACATCAGGTCCGCCCTGCCTTGCCTCCCGAATCCGTCGCCTGTGCCTAACCCCAGCCTGCAGATACGTCGGAACCCTCCACGAGATCAACTCCGAGAACTCGACCGTCGCCCTCGAAAATGTCAGGTCCTTTGGTACCGAGGGACGCCGCAACGGCGAGGACGAGATCGCTGCCTCTGACAACATCTACGAGTACATTGTCTTCCGTGGCAGCGACGTGAAGGACCTCCGGATAGAGGGCAAGGTCGAGGAGCCCAAGCCCGCGCCGCCGCCCATGCCCAATGATCCGGCTATCCTTGGCGTAAGTCTACCCTCAGGCCGACCTCAACCCTTGTTGCAAGCTTGATGAAGCATTTCGGATGTAAATTACACAACTCCCCGAGAGCGCAAAACCGTGTGGATATCTCCGTTGCCTTCCTTCTGATCCGGCTCCTCCTACTACCACCTTTTGATCCAGAGCTTCTTATGGATTGATTACTGAACTTTTCGCGAATAGGCTGCTCGTCCTGCTCAGTCCACCCCGCAAGGCGGCCAGCAACCGCCGCCTCCAAACTTCCCCAATCCGCAGCACTTCCAACCGCCGTATCCGACCTCCGGTCCCGGTCCTTACCCGCCCTTCCAGAACACTCATTTCGGTCCTCCTGGTGCCTATCCTGGTGGCCCTGGTGGTCCCCCTCGTGGTCCCGGTGGCCCTGGGGGTCCTGGCGGCCCGGCTGGTTTCCCTGGATATCCTGGCATGCCGTACGGTGCGCCCCCCGGTTGGTACCCTCCTCCCGGCCAGGGTTTCCCGCCGGGTCCTCCTGGCCCCTTCTCGCCGCACCCCAACCAGATGCCCGTCGGCCCGCCTGGACAAGGTCCTAAGCCCGGCCCGCCTGGTCCCGGTAAGGAACAGAACCCGGTCGAGGCAGATGCCGCCCCCAAGTCTGCCGAGGAGAAGAGCAAGACTTCTACGCCTGCGCCAGCTCCTGGCCCGGCGCCAACTCCCCCCGTCGAGTCCAAGCCTGACACCGCTGCCGCTCTGGCGCCCGCTCAGCCCAACGCGGCTGCCGCCCCGCCGACTGGACCCAAGGCGGCACCTACTGGTCCGAAGAATGGTCGCATAGTTCCCGTTGTTCCCCTTGCTACGCCCGGTCAGAAGGCTGCCGCTCCTGCCGCTGCCGCTCAGTCCCCTCATGCCCCTGAACAGGGAGCCAACCCGCCGCAGCAGTACCGTGATGCTACGCAAGCTGCCACTGCTGCTGTGGCCGCAGCGATGGCCAAGCTCAAGCCGCAGGGCGGAGCTCCTCCTGTTCAGGGTGGCGATGCAGCCATCACGAACCTTACACAGAAGGTTGCGGAGATGCGTGCCGACGATAGGGCCAGGCACGGCAAGCCGCCTGTCGCTGGTGGTTTCCCTCAGCGTGGAGGTCGTGGCGGCCGCCGCGGTTCCGGTCGTGATCAGCACAGCAAGCCTTTTGAAGTTCCCGGGACCGATTTTGATTTCGAGTCTTCCAACGCAAAATTCAACAAGCACGATCTGGTGAAGGAGGCCATCGCTACAGGCTCTCCTCTGGGTACCCCTGGCGAGGAGATCGAAGAACCCAACGGAGCAACCAATGGTGCCGTGCCTGAGAAGGAGTCGGTTGTCATCCCTGCGGCTTCGTACAACAGGAGCAGCTCTTTCTTCGACAACATCTCGTCGGAGCTGAAGGACAGGGAGGAGGCCAGGGGCAAGCTGGGCGGCCACGAGTTCCGCACCGAGGAGAGGAGGAAGAACCTCGAGACGTTCGGGCAGGGCAGCGTCGACAACTACCGCGGTGGCTTCCGCGGCCGTGGTCGTGGCCGGGGCGGCTTCCGTGGCCGCGGTGGCTTTAGCCGTGGCCGTGGCGGCGCTCGTGGTCGCGGCGGTCACGCACCGGCCACTGAGGCTGGCGCTCTGTGAAGTCTGGGCTATTCTCGATAGGGGTTCATCGCTTATTGCATTTTTTTTCTTTCTTTCCCTTCTCGTCTCGTCCGAAAAGTGGGCGAAGAAAGGGAGAGAAGAGAACAGAAAACAAATCAGTACGGATTTCACGGATCTTGAACGAAAGCCCTCTTTCGGCGTTTTGTTCTATTTTTTTTTCTGATTAAACGGGCGAGAGGAGAACAAAGCATATGACGTGAGGGAACGGGCGGGGTAAGAGCTACTGCTGCTCTTCTTTTTTTTTGAGCTTGAGCTTCATTCGAAATGGTCTTTTAGTTGCTGCCTTTCTTCCCTTTTTTTTATTTTGCTTTGAATGCAAATGAGGCGATGGGACCACAAAAAAAATAGGGAGAGAGCATGCATGACAATGAGTTAGCTAGCACTATACACGGCGAGGCGAGAACGAGGCGGACGGGGACGGGGGGAAAACGGAGTAGCACGAACTAGAATGGTAATACATTCAAAAAAAAAGATTTCCCGGATCAAAAGAGAGAGAGAGAAAGAGAAAGAGAGAAAGAGAGACGACCATGTACAACTATCCATCATCGATCATTGTTTTTGCCTGACTCTTCTTTCTCTCTCTTGTTCGCGTGCGCATGTGTTTTGTTTATATTTTTTTTTCTTTTTTCTTTTTTTGCGGAAACGGATGGTGTGGTGTTTGGGTGGATGGAGCAGCAGGAGAAGAGTGCTGGCGCCCACATGTTCGGCGAAGACTGGGGTTGTAAACGTGAGTGAGTGAGTGAGTGAGTGAGTGAGTGGTTCGAGCGGGTGGCTGGTCCTGCAGGGCTCGACTGGTGAAGGAGGAGGGGGGTGGGGGGAGCGAAGAGAAAAGAAGAGGGATGTATAAAGAGTGCGTGAGCGTGACGTTCTGCCAATGTCGAACTCGATTGCATGCCATCCCCCCTTTTCCTGTTTCGATCACCCTTATGATTAGTTGGCTTGTTTTTCTTTTCTTTTTTTTAAACTTATCCTGATTGAACATGGGAAGTTTCCCGTTGAAGTCTTGCACAGTGGAAGGGGCGTAGGTTTTGTGGTGCTGGATGATGGGATGGAAGTGCCGCGGATAGCGTGGCGGTGCCTTGAGATGATGATGATTAGGAGGAAGGGGAAGAAGAGGGGGGGGGGGAGGGGAAGAAGAAGAGGAATAAAAAGGAGGGAGAGGAGAGACGGATGTTAGGATTGTGCGCCCTTCTATCTCGTTCTTCTTTTACTTCATGGCTAATGCTGCTGCTCTTCATTACGAGTCTCGCCTCACTTCACCTGGCCCTTTTTCCCCGATCCCCTCCCGTACAGCCTTAATTCTTGGACTTCCGTGCTTGTGCTTGTGGCTGTCCGTCTCTCGTATACGTTATTATTCTGCCTGTCGTCACGTTGACCTGGCCGCTAGTAATTCCTTCTCCTTTAGCAGCGGCGACTCTGAAGATGAGGTAGTGCTTTTTACTTGAGTGATCTATTGATGGAGCGGAGAAGATTTGTTATTACTAAAGTTTTTAAATAGGGGAGGGGACAAAGACTATACGTATTTGTTCTTATTGGTGGATTAACCATCGTCCTATTATAGGAGCAATACCGTAGAACAGTAGCGCAGGCGGAGTTGAGATTAGAGAGTGAAGTAGTTGATAAAGATTTTATAGCTTAGACTAATAGATTTAGTAGGTGAGCATTCGTGCAGGTTGGTAAAGCTATCCCTCGTAGGATTTTGCCAAACGGTATTGATGATGGTGAAGGTGGCGATGGTGGACGTAGTAGAGCACGAGGAGAAGTCACATGTATATTAAGCGTCTTTAGATACTATAATATGCAGTCTTCTTTCGTATTGTTCTATTCTTCTTTGAACCGAGTCCTATAGAAAGATGCATCCAGAAAGAACAGACGGATGGTCTCCTTGTCATAAAATTGCGCAGCAGCATCGATTCTCATGCGACCCCCGACGAAGGGAGCCAAGATTTAGGGAAAGCTCCAGGAAGTAATGGTATATTGACGGTCTCTCTGTGCTGGTATACCAAGAAGAAACAGCGGGTAAGCACTGGATGCTGGGAAGAAGCATCAAGGAAACATTTCCGACATCCAAGCTCTTCAAGTAAAAGTATGAGATACCGCCACTTGCACATACCTGCCCTGCGAGGCAAGGCGCGGGGAACTTTGGCCCGAATGCGGCAGGAGATTTACATGGCATACATGGAACAAATAGAAAAAATAAGGCAAGAAAAGCGAAAGGATAATGTTTCAAACAGACACAGGCCGCGTCGTGCACGAGCTGGGAAGGAATGCTCCGCCACACACACCCCAACCCAATCCCAGTATCGCCTTCCCTTGCTGCATTATGCAGCGTTCCCTACAATACGAGCGGAAAGACAAGCCGTGCCCCCCAATCAAAACGCATGAAGATCAAGACTCACTGTGAAGCATGCACGCACGCGTGTGAAGAAGAAAGTGGCCTCGTGCCTTCACTTTCAGCCCTCCCTCTCCGCGTCAAGACATCCGGTAGTCCGCAAGGCCACCCACGCACTCACTCCAAGGAGGGCTGTGCTTCATCCGTCCCTCCGTCTCTTCCTCTTTTCGCTCAAGTCCGATCGATACACAGACACACACACACTACTCTTCGGATGGGAGGGATCTCGTCATTTTCTTAGCGTCGGGAATCGGACGGTTCCCACCATCTCGCTCACAGCCGACCAGAAAAGGATTAAACAAGATCTGAGATTTTAATCACAATACCCGAGACGATGGGGTGGCGCGTACGGTCCGACTGCTTGAATTTCTTATATAACACAGAGGATCTCGATGCATCTAACTCGCTTGTTAGTTCCCGCTAGCCATCCTTTTGACATGGCGGGGGTGGAGATGGTGGCTGACCGATGGTGAAACCAAGGAACGAACCAGTCTAGTGGGTACCCGAGTCAGCTAGGCGGAGGCGGACAATATGGCCGACGGACGAGATGCCCATTTCGGCCTGGAAGAGGCTATCTAGGAGTCCGCACTCCCCCCATATTGGAGGTAGGTGCGTTTTTGACGAGCTTGCCTGACGGACGGAGGTCTGCTGTTGAGTCGCAAGTCGTGGTGGCTGGTGGGTTAGCAGCTTGTAGTACCGGCCGTACTTTTGGTCCGGCGTTTTCCATGGCGGATAAGAGAAGCCCCAAACGATGGAGATGAGGCGGCATGATGGTGGCGTTTAGCTTAGATCGCGTTGCGTGCTTCTTGTTCCTTGCCCGCTTTTTTTTATTTGGGTTTTCTGCAACTCCAGCATAGGGACCGTGCGTGTCTGGAGGGAAGAGGTCAGTGAACACAAGGGCACTGAACATCTCAACTCATGTTGGCGAGAGAGAAGGCATGGCCGTCCAACCGAGACCCATCCTCTCGGGTCACTGTGGTGCTCGGGTAATAGTGGTAAACATGAATGATGCTTTTCCCGTTCCTAGTCTATTCATGAAAGCCACGATCATATACACGAATGTTCCTTCTCCTCAGAACGTCATTGACAGAAATCTCGTCACCACTTCCCCTATCCAGTGTCCTATGTCTGCTTGCTGTCTTTCTAAATCTCCTCCATCTCCTCCGCAAACTCATCCACCTCGGGGAAATCACCCACCTCGACCTTTTCCGGGCGGACGAAGACACCGCAGTTGGGCTTGCAGTCAAAGTACTTCTTCCCCTTGGCGGAGCCGTCGTTCTTGCCCGTTGGCTCGTCCAGCACGATGCCGACCCAGGGGCCCGCTGGCGGGGGCAGTTCGGGAATGAGGCCGATGAAGGCGACAGTGCCGCGGCGGCCGTCAGTGGCGGCGGGGAGGAGCTGACAGCGCGAGTTGAGGGTGATGCCTGGAGAGGGAAAAGTTCAAGTGTCAGTGGGAAAACTTTCTTCTCTTGCGTTTGAAACTTTCCGAGATGATGTGGAAGACGAGGAACCAGAGAGTTGAAAGACTCTTTGCTGGGGACCGTCATGCTCATGCTCAGTGCAGGGGTGGAGGGGGTTGGGTGGAGGTCGAAGTTTGTAAAATCTGGCATCTCCGCTTCTCTGCCAGGCCGCCCGCTCAGCTGAGGCTGAGGCTATGTTGATCGTAGCTAGTAGCACTAAGCTAATGAGCGTGTAGCAAGAGCAAGGGTTCGCGGTCTAACTGATGGAAGTGGGACCGACGTAGACTTCTAGGGGAGAGAAGCTCAACAGATGGGATGACCGAAACCCCACACTGCTATTCTCTTTCCGCATATTGCCGATACGAAAAAAGAAATCCAAACGATAGGTTCGGAAAAAGCAAAAAAGAGTCACAGGGCAAAGAACAAGGCGAGTAGGGACATGGTATGCGTACTTCTCTCTTCGACCTCGCGCTCTAGGGCCTTGACCTTTTGCTCCTCGATGGTGCCGGCGTTAGGGTCGAAGCGGCCGAGTTTCTGCTTCTTCTTCCAGGCCAACACACTGTCGGAGCGCGTCTCATACTCGTCGGGCGGCATCACATACTTCTCGACGGCGGAAACATCGGTAAAGTCGGTACGGGCGCCGGCAGGGCGCGTATCATCAACCTGTTGGGTGGTGCCAAGGTACGTCAGTAGGGTGTCCGGACAGGTGTGACAAATGCAGCGGATGAGAAATGAAGCGCCTCAACGGCGGCCGTTCAGCAAAAGAGGTGATGCGTTGGCGCCTTGTCACGTCTATTGGTTGGGGGCAAGTGACGAGTAGCGGTGGCGCTGCAGCTTGTTGGACGTCTGGGTCTGAAGCGCCGATAACGCCGCACGCGGTAACAGCAGGTGTACACAACGGCATAGGCTACGTCCTGCTGCGAGGCCCCCAGGCGGCCGGCGGGCAGGCAGTTCATGTGGACACAAGAGTTCCCGCTCGGCTGGGTCTTCTGCATGGGATGCGCAGTTTGCCCGGGCTCGCGAACAGGCCATGTCCATGTGACCGGTGCCCAGAGGGAGATGACGGCGGCGCAGGTCTGGTCAAGGCTGTATCCAACTGCCCGCTGAGAGCGGTGGGGGCAGCGGCTCGGGTCCCAGGGTGTTGCTGGTTGGGCGGCTGCGGGTTCCCAGACAGCCGGGGCCCGGAAAAAGCAGTCTCGTGCAGAACAAGTGACGGGCCAGGGCCAACGAGCGGGGGGAACGGGTTGGGAAACGCCCGCGTCAGTCAGCAATAGCGCCTTCTCGTATGTCTGGCTCACGGTACCTGCAGCGCTTCGCCATCGAGACAGATCTTCAGATCGACTGCTGTGCCTCTCGAGATTAGGCGATCACAGGGCGGCGGAGGGCGTGCCGCGTTCCGCCGGTACACAGCATGCACGGCAGACAGACAATAGTAGAAGGGTTGCGCCACGGGGGGGGGGCGGCGCAGTGAGGCGCGGGCATTTCCAAATGGGCGGATACGAGAGGAGGGAGCCGGCGCTATGGAGGACTTACGTAGATCTCGGCGTATGGCTGCAGAGGGAAGTCTGACAGCAGGGTTGCGTCCTCGTTCGGCGCGTCGAGAGGCACGGGCGCCTGCGAGCCGATCCGCAGCGAGAGCTTCTGACAGGAGGCCGGGATGCCGGTGACGGGCTCGAGGCGGGTCTTCAGGTGGGCAAGCGTCCAGGAGGGCGTGACGCGGCGCTCGGAGGCCGTGTTCGGCGACGAGACCAGCAGCGGCACGTCATGGGCGGGCTGGAGCGACATGGTGGCTGGGGGCTGGGGGCTCGAGTCGCTGGCGGGTGGGTCTGGCGGTTTGCTGAGGGGCGCTGACGGAGCTCGTGCGTGGAGCGGTGGGTTGGGTGCGCTGGAAGGCGGAAAGCGCGTTGGAAATGTCTTCTAGCGGGAGGTTCGCTGGTGGTGAGGGATGCCGGCGGGTTAGGGTGAGCCCTGGTCGCGCAGACGGTGGACGTCGCGCAGGCTAGGGCGGTGCTCGCACCGGCAGCCCGGTAACCAATGCACAGCGATCTGCTGCAGCGACGCAGCAGCGACGGCCGACCACCGACGGCACCCTCAGCGCCGGCGCCGCTGGCAGCGCGCGGGCCCGCGGGCTCTCGCCTGCTCGCAGCGCTAGGGCAGGCGCTGGCCGCGGCTGGCCGCGGCTGGCTCGAGTGCGGCGGCGGGCCAGATCGATCAGATTCTGGAGGGGTGAGGCGGTTCGGCCCTATGGCCCTGGGGAACCAAGCGTGCAAGTGCATGAGGGAGTCGACGTCGCAGCACGCGGCTGCACCAGCCTCGCGCGCCCTCCAACCGCGGCGCGTGGGCCTCACCGCCCCCCGCCTGCCGGGCGGCCAGCTGCCAGGCTGCCAGGCTCCATGTCCGCCTGCTGCCAACCTGCGCGCGCGCGAACGCCGGCAGCCGCGGCGGTCGGCGGTCGGATGACTTGCTTGATGCGCGGATCAATCTGGAGAGCGACGGGTGACGGAGCGACGGAGCTGCTCGCAGCAACTGCCGCGCGGTGGCAGCCTAGCCAGCGGCCCTCCCGCAGCTTAGCGAGGGCTGCGAGCCTGAACATTGGGCGTCAATCCCAGCGCGCCGGATCTGGCTTTCCCCATCCCACCACCACCCACTCTGAAACCGGTTCTCTCGCAGGCACATGGCTCCCAATGCGTCACGCCATGTCCCTGAGCGCCTCACGTGGAGTCGCACACGGCGCGCGACGCGGTGACGACCGTTGGTTTCACCGCTCCCATTCGTATAACGCAGCCGGCTGCGCAGATCTCGCGCATGCTGCTTCGGTGCTTCCTCAGGCATCCCTGGAGCAGTTCACCGCCCACCCGCCGTGACTGGCCGCCTCAGCGCAGCCGATCGCCAGCCCAGCAGCAGCCCAGCAGCCGGCAGCCTTTGCCAGCGGCCTTTGCCAGCAGCCTCCACTGCCCGCCGCGCCCGCCGCCAGCCCAGCCGCCGCGCCCCAGCCGGCCATGATAGAAACCGCCCGACACGTCATCAGCTGCAGCGCTCCAGAGGCACCCTCGCCTCGGATCACGACCGCCACGGAGATCCTGGCTGAGGCCGCGCCGTGGCTCCAACGCCGCCATCCTGCATGAACATCGTTGCCCAGCGCCATGCTAGGGAAGGATCAAATTTTCCGCCCGCCTGGTCGCATCATGTTTTCTATTCTTCGTGGTATTTGCAAGCTTCGGCTGTTGACCCACGCCCACCCCTGCCCCTGGCCCTCTCCCAAATAGCACATGACGGCCCGGCGAGTAAGAGCCCAGATCCCCAATACAAAGACGTAGTTGGCTCCAACCCAGGCGCTTCTCGGAGCTTTTCGAATCTCGTCACCTCTGACTTGCCACCAACCTTGGCCAGCCGCCGGCCCCATTTACTCGCCAGACGCACCCCATCATCACTTTCACATCAGCCTCCCCCGCCAAGCTCAACCCGACGCCAGTACCTGCCCTTCCCGCGCAGCCTCGCCCTCTGCGCCCACTCCACTCTCCCCTGCCCGCTTCCCTCGAGAGCCCACTGCCCGCCTGGGATCCCTCCAAGTGTCCTCTTGCCTCGATCCCGCCTGTGCAACCCGCGAGACTCGCCCCCATAAAGCCCACCTCCGCCTCACTCCTTGACCGAGGCCGAGAGCTCCGCCACCAAGCTCCGCCACCAAGCTCCGCCACGAAGCTCCAGCTGGCCCTTTGCCATTGAAGTCTTTGATTGCTGGATGGCCTGGCCTTCGACTGGAGGCCAGCCGTAGTCATCACTTTTCAATCTGGATATCGCCTCGCTGCTCGAGTCGCGAGACGCTCGCGACTCTGCGTCTCCCCGGACCCGGAAGAGCACGTCTTCGCAGGGCTCCACCTCACACGTTGTAGCCGTAACGAATGCCGCCTTGCAGCAGCACCAGCAACAGCAGCAGCAGCACCAACAACAACAACAACAACCGGGGGCGCCGCCTTCAGCAGCTTCCACCTACCTTCCGTCAGCCTCGTACGCAACCCCCCGCTCCACCACGACAGTTCCATCTCCGTCACCGCCGAGAGCACCGGCACCGCAATGGACTCCGGTCCAGCAGCTGCCCTCGTTCCGGCAGCGCGGTTCTCTCCCCGATGAGTTCCAGCAGCAACAATCCCCTCCGGGCCCTGGGTACATCCATCAGAGCGGCTTCCGGCCCATCTACTCGGGAAGCGTAGCATCGGCGCCATCTCACAGCAGCACGCCCGGACCGTATTTCCATTCTGTGCCCTCATCTCAACACGCCCCCCTGCACCCCGCAGCGTCTAGTCCTGTTTCATCTAACAAGCGCACAGCGTCGTCAGCGCTAGGGTCGGGCACGGGCGATGCCGTGGGGGGCGGCGGCAGCGCAGCCAAGAAGGAGAAGAAGCTAAAGGGCAAGTGGACCGACGAGGAGGAGAGGCTGCTGATCAAGCTGCGCAGCAGCGGGATGAAATGGGTCGACATCTCGCAGCAGAACCCGGGCCGCAGCGCGACGGCGTGCCGGCTGCGCTATCAGAACTACACGGAGAAGAAGGAGTGGGCCGAGGACGAAAAGGACATGCTCGCCCGCCTCTACCATCGGTATGCTTTAGAATTTTCCCGTTGCGTTGGCGCTAACGTCGTGGCACCTAGGGGCAAGGTGAAACTGGCAAGCGACCCGCATGAGATCGTCGAACTAGCTTGTGCAGATTGGATCCATCGTCCGGATGCACTGAAGAGCCTTTGTGACGGGCCCTGGGCGCTGCGCCGAGAAGCAATGCAAATTCTAGGGCCGGGGCCTGCCGCAGCTGCCAAAGTCATCCAAAGCGCGACTGCCACATGCACAAGCTAGACTCGCTCAGATCTGGTGTCCGGGTGCTTGCCATGTCATCTCGCCCAAGCCCACAATGCCGTCGTGCTCCAAGTCGTCGACATCGCATCCTCCCCGTCTCTGCACCAAAGCACAACCCGCTGACCATGACGCTCCGCCCGCTACAGGTTCATGGAAGACATGTGGAAGCGCATCGCCGACGAGATGTGCCGGCCGTGGCGATCCTGCGAACGCATGCACTGGCAGCTGGGCGAGGAAGAGATGCTCCGCCGCGCCAACGTGCAGTATCGCGGCGGCGGGCCCACGCCTCCCGGCGGCCACCACGACCTCGACCTCGATCTCGAGAACGACAACGACGACTCTCCGCCCTCGACCGGCCGCCTCACCGACAACGACCATGCGACCACCTCGCCCTCGTATTCCCACACCACAGCCATACAATCCCCCCACCAGCGCGCCCACCACCACCACCACGGCCCACACCAACACCAACCACAACACTCCCCCTACGCCCATCATCTCCCCCTCTCGCGCGACCCCTCCCGCGAGCCCTCCCAGCAGCAACAGTGGCCACCACCACCACCTCTCCTCTCCTCCACAATCCCATCATCATCCTCCTCCCTCCCCACGCGCCCAACGAGCGCGACCAGCACCATCGCCAGCGTCGGCCAGCCCATGTCGCCGCAGATGCCGTTACCGCCAGGCATGCGCCACCACACTCCGGCCGCCGCTGCGCAACAGCCGCCAACGCTCACCCTCCACCAACCCCTCCCCACCACGGGCGGCTACTACCACGCCCCTCTGCTCGGCATGCAGCAGCCGCCGACCCCCGGCGGTGGGGGCATGCGTCCCGTGACGCCGCTGAGCCTGGCCGCCGCTGCTGCTGCTGGAGGAGGAGGTGGTGGTGGCGGCGGCGAAAACAACAACGGCGGTGGTGCGCATCAGCGTCACCAGCTGCAGCCCAACGCCAACGCCAACCCATCCGGTACAACCCCTCGGACCGTGCCGACGGTCGTGCATGGCACAGGCGCAGGTGCGGGGCCAGGGCGGTTGGCGAGCCCGTTCGCTGGAGGAGGCGGTGGTGGCAGTGGCAGCGGTGAGAGACCCACGACGGCGGGAACGGATGCGGAAAGGGACTCGGCGACGGGGGAGGCTGCTGGAAAGAGGCACCGACACCACTATCATCACTATCCTCATCAGTCGGCGGGGTTTGTGGCGGACATGGACAGCGCTGTTCAGGTGAAGAAGGAGGCGAGGGTGGGCGATGACTGAGTTTCGTTTCGTTTCGTTTCCGGGGTTGAGAGGAGGAGAGGGGGAGAGGGGGGGGGACTCTTTCCCCTTCTTCTTACTGGTCTTCTCTCTCTCTCTTTTACAGGTACTGCATTGGAATACTTCGGATTCGCGCAGGGGCTTAATAGTGCTCTCTTTTTTTTTTTTTGTTGTTGAGCGCATGGGCATTAGCATATGGCATGGCATGGCATAGCATAGCTTGGCTGGCTGGCTCATTTGTTTGTTTTTTCTCTATACCATCTTCCGGCGATTTTTAGCTGATGACTTTTGCCTAGTTACTTGTTTTATTACCTTTTTTTTCATTTGCAAGCGTGTACTTTGCTTTCTTTCCCCCTCTTTTCTTCTCTGCTCCCCCTTCCCCTTACTTTTTTCATTTTCATTATTTTTCTCCACGTCTCCACACCATGACTTCATGATGACGATGATGATGTTATGAATTATGACTTTTTTTTCCGACTGTTTTTTGTGTTGCTGTTTTTTTTTCCTTCGCACAGCGTGGACGGTTTCGCAGCATCGAGACAGAAGCAGGGTGAACTCGAAAGAACGGGGGTGGAATGGGGAGTGTGGGTAATGGGATGAGTTGATTTTTTTGGTTGGTCAAACGGCTTGCCGCAGCGCCCGAGGAAGAGAGGAAGGATCTGCAATCGATACGGAACCAGTGACGATGACGCGGTGGGCGGAGAGCCGGATGCTCGACAGATGATGAGACGAGGAGAAAGGAGGAGGGGGAACAATAACATGGAGATCGCGAAGAGAAAAGATGGTATGTGTGTGGGGCGTGTGTGAGGAAGACGACGAATGGCGTAGGAGGCGAAGTGGCAGGAGGAGGAAAGAGGCCATCAAAGCACATTGCAACCCCCCATACGATATATCGCCATTTCCCGGCATCATTGGAGAAAGGAAGAACCAACATTACTGGCGGCTGTCTCTAACAACTCTGTCTCTCTCTCTCTCTCTCGCACATATCTTTTCCCTCGCATCAGCAACTTGAGCGCGAAATCCGCATCCTCGACTCCTCGGGCGAGCATCCACCATACCAGACTCGTTTCCACTTCCGCTATATAAACGGCCATCTGTTTACTATTGTTTTTTTTTTCTGTCTCCTTAGGATCACCACTGTTGTGTGTTTTGTCGACGCATGCATGGAGGCTTTCTTCTTTATCTATCTATTCAATCCACCATCCAACTGTGCTAATGACATGTGCACAACAAGCACAAGCGAAGCCAAGGGGTGACGGACGGACGGACGGACGGACGGACGGGACCCGGCAAAGGAATCAACAAGCAGATGAACTGATGAATAACGGAACGGCATTGCAAAGAATAATCTCACATATAGAAGGGGATCGTCACATAGACTCGGGACCAGCAGTCAGGAATGCGTATGAAAGGAGCAATGGAAGTTCTTTCTCTCACCGCCCCTCTCATTTTTTTTTCTCAGAAAATCGTCACATATTTCCAAGGCATAGAGGTTCTTCACCGAGGAAAAAAAAACCCTTCGGCATTTGTCGTCATCGTGCTCGCTCTTTCTTCCTCTCTCTTTCCCTCCCCCATCGCATTTTTTGCAGTAAAAACGGGTGAGTACAACTAAAACGCCAACACCACCAACCACCGCAGTCGCCCGCGTTCCAAATTTGCGCCACCCGCTTTGCTCCCTTGGCAGAAACACACAAAACACCAACCAATCAAGACGCAAGGCCGGCCAACGACAAGATACCAATGACCTGTCACTCAAGAGAAACAACAAAGGGGACGGTTCCCCTCACCCAAGCAGACCAGTAGACGAACGAGAGGGAGAGAGAAAGAAAGAAACCAGCACCACGTCCACCGGTTAACCCCCTTTGTGGTCCTCCAACCACCGCCCAACAAACCCCGCCCCATCCTCCCATCCTCCCTCTGTCCAAATCCGCCAACATCCATCCATCAATCGATCCCACTTCCAGTCCCACTTCCCCCTCCCCTCCGGATCATAAGTCCCCGGTTCATCAAGTCGGCGACTCCCCCTCGCGGACCTCGCAGCCCTGCGCGAAGAACACCCTGGCGTCGACATCGTGGTCGTTTGAGATGCTGTAAAAGTTGCCTGCGAGAGAAGAAAGAAAGAACACACGTAACGCGTTAGCTTTTGTTTCTTTTCTTTCTTTTTTTTTTTGGATGTGTGTTCATATATGCAATGACGAAAAAGAGAATACAAGAAGAATGCAAGGAAAGGGGGGGAAATCGAAGACAGCAGCAGGAGCGGCGGCGGCGGCGGTCTTATCGCCCCCTAACAACGGCAGCAGCGGCGGCAGCAGCGGCGGCAGCAGCAGCAGCAGCATCAGCAGTGACTTGCACGACACACACGACCGACCAAGTCCATCCATCCATCCATCCATCCATCCAGCGGGAAGGAAGCGCAGGTGCAGAAGATGAGCCTGACCGCCAGCCAGAGAGGGACGAGACCAAATGTCATTTGTGGGACGGGCGAACGACAGACATGTCGAAACACAGCGCACGTCAGGGGGGAAGAAAAAAAAGGCGGCTGCAGGGGCCGACGGGGAAGGCAAAAAAAAAGCCCCGATGAACAGGTGGTTCGTGGTCGTGGTTCGTGGTCGTGGTCGTGGTCGTGTCCGTTGCGAATCAAAAACCCGGCCCTGGCCTGGCCTGACATGACATGCGTGGCCCGCTACGTGATGCGTGTAGGTGTGTGTGTGTGTGTGTGTGTGTATGCGTCACAGGCGGCTACACCGTCTGCCGTCTGGTTGCCCTGTTGCCGCTGACGCCTGCTGCCGCTGACGCCTGCTGCTTGCTGATGACGTGCGTGCGTGCGTGCTGCGTGCGTGCTGCGTGCGTGCGTGTGCGCGTCGTCCGTCCGTCCGTCCCGGCCATTGTCTGTCTGTCTGCAGACGGCGATTCTCGTTGCTCTCTCTCTCTCATTCTCTCTCTCCACTCTTTGACAGCAGCTTGACGAGGCACAGAAACGCCCGTCAGTCCGACCAGCACCACACACACACCCATGAACAGACCGGCCCCCCCGGTCACACACACTAACCGACGGACCGGTGTCAGGGAAGCAAAAAAAAAAAAATGACAGATACGCTGCATTGCAGCGGGTCCCGGCCGGGTGTCTGCCGATTGGACGTGAGACCCTCCCCGGGGGGGGGGGATCGTGCAGTTTGCATGTGTGTGTGTGCGGCCTTCCCCGGGTTACACTGAATGCGATACGGGGTGGGTGGAAATCCAGCATGCTGTGCGAAAAGCAGCAGCGGCGGCGGGGTTGCAATGAGCGGTGGGGGGTGGGGGTGGTGGTGGTGTCGACGATGCCGTTGTGTGTGTGACCGGGGGTTGAAATAAGGAACAACAGCGATCCGAAGGCGGGTGTGTGTGTGCCCCGACTGGGGTGGGGGGCCCCTCCCCCCGAGCTGCTGCTGTGCCTTATTGTTTGCCGGAGCGAAGCGAAGATCTGGTTCGCGTCGTACATTGGTACAAACGGCTGCCTTGGGCTGGCGCCACAATAACCGCATCCATGCACGCCCTGAGGCCGCCTGCTGGGGGGCTGCTGGGGGGCTGCGGTGCGACGGAGCCAAGCCGAGCTGGGCCGGCAGTTGCAGCGATGCGTTGCGACCATGCCATCTGCACCCGCTGCCGTGCAACGAACGCTCCGTCGGATGCAACAACGTGTCTAGCCGGCGCCAGACCCGCCCACCAGGGAAGAGCATAAAGTGACCGCCCGTCACACATACGTGGTCTTGCACACCGACTCACCATTTGCATTCGCCGCCAGTCTGCCTGGACCCGCGATGCAGCCAACCAAGGAAAAAACGGGAGGGAAAAGAGAGGTGCGAAACAATGTGACCAGACGAGACGGAACATTACTCACCTCTTGGCACCATCCACACCCCACCCTTGCTGATGCTGAACTCGTTGTCGCCCACCGTGACACTGACCTTGCCGTAGAGCAGGCAGAACGCCATGTACATGCGCCGCGAGTTCTTCGACCGCTTGGATCCGTGCGGCGGAATGTCGACGATGCCTGCCCCAAAGTAGGGGATCCCGAGAACCTTCGAATATCGGAAATTCGCCCCTGCCACTTCTCTTGTTTCGAGCGCGGCCGCAGAATAGGCAATGTCTGTATGTCGTGTCAGGCCACGTAATGCAAATACACCCGTTGGAACACGCCGCATTGTAGCACAGCAAGCTCGGGACTTTACCTTCGTTCCGCCCGCCCTGATCGATCACCGTGTGTGCCTTCTCGTCCCAGCCGTTGACCCAGCCCTGCATCACGCCCGGATCAATCTCCCACTCCTCCAGCTCCATTTCCGGCTCCTCCTCGATTGCGCTTGCGCTTTCCGACCGCTTGCCGGCTCGCTTGCGTGCCTTGGCGCGCGCCGCGGGACGCTTGACTTTCTCGACATCCTCGGCACGAACAATCTCCTTTTTGGTTCCGTCGTGGCTGTACTCGATCCTCTCGTTGCGCCAGTACTCGATCGGCTTGGCCGAGATCCTGCCTGATCGGGTAGTTCGCGCTCCCGCGTCATCAAAAGGCGTGCCCTGACGAAGGATTTGGAGACTCCGTGCTTGACTTGCTTGACTTGCTTGACTTGCTTGACGTGACCGACCCGGCTCTCGCTGCGAGCTCGGTTGGGATGGAGGTGGCGGAGGGGGCATGTCCTCCTTCTGTTTGCCCTTTGATTTGCTCTTCGCGTCGTCTTTTTTCGACGTTATTCTGGCATTTGGATCGCGCTGCGATGGGGGAGGCTTCTTGGGTGCTGGTGTTTTCTTGGCCTTCTTCGCCGGGCGTTCGGGCAGCTGCATCGGTTCCTGAGGTTCGTCCACGTGTAGGTCAAACTTCGAGCTTGACTTAGGCGGCCGTCCCCGTTTCCTCTTCGCTAGAGGCAGCTCCGGCTCAGGTTCTGGTTCTGGTTCATGTTCGGGTTCAGGCTCCGGCTCCGGTTCCGGCTCCTCTTCCGGCTCCTCTTCCTCCTCTTCCTCCTCCTCCTCCTCCTCTTCTTCTTTCTCTTCCTCTTCCGGTTTCTCTTCCACTTCTTCCTCAGCCTCGTCTTGGCCGACTTGTTCCATTGACGGCTCTTCTATCGACGGCTCAACGTCCATTGCGCTTTCATCCGCGACGTGTGTGTTCGGAGCTGGTCGTGATTGTGCAGCCGATCGCGACCTCGCAGGTACCGCGGCGCTGGTCGACTTTGCGGATACCAAACCTTGATTCTTCTTTGGCCGTCCTGCCTTCTTTTTTGGGGCTGATACGGGCGATTCCTTGTGCTCCAAGCTTTTCCTTCCCTGACCGCGAGCTTTGGTGAGGCGTGGCTTCGGCTGCGGTTCTTCGGGGATTTCCATTGAATTCTCCTCGGGCTCATCCGCCTCGGTGTCACCGCCATTGTCTTCAGGGAGCATCGGCAGCGAGTCGTCTCCGCCGGCCGGTAGCGGGCTATCCCCCCCAACGCCATTGACCGCGAGCTCGCTCTCTTCGAGCACGGTCTCATCCTCCACAACGCTCTCGTCGTGTGTGCGCTTCTTGCCGCGGGCGGGCGAAACCGGCAGATCGAAGACGTGTGGGCGGGGCTGGCCCCGATTCCTGTTCCCGCTTCCCGTCGCTTTCGCATTGTCCTCATCAATGGCGCCAAAGTCCAATCGTCTTGCGACTGCGGGATGGGAGACGGCGCGATCAGGAGTGCCCGAGGGCCTGCGCATGGCCGACGGCAGGCCCGTGGATTTGCGGCGAGGGGAGGAACCAAGGTGGGTCTTGATGGGCGAGCGGGCCATGGGCGGGGGAAAAATGGAGGCTCTCCCGGGACGAAGGGACTTGCGGGCGCTGAGGGCGGCGGCGGGTTCGGGCATGGAACCTGTTGGGGGCAGTGTTGTCTTAGTAGCTTCTTCTTCTTCTTCGTCTTCTTCTTCGCTGGCCAGCAGTTCGTCGACGAGACTGTAGAACGGCTGGTCGCTGTGTTCGTATATATGGCGGGGCATACTTTGCTGAAGGTCCATGTCGGAAGAGGTCAAGGTCTTGTCGGGCTGTTGGGGTTGGTTGTTGCGCTTCGGGGGAGACTTCTCGGGCGAGGAGAAGATGCCGTCGATGGGCTCCATGCCGTGTTCATCGCGCACACCGGTGTCCTTGAGCGTGATGCCCGTCTTCCTGCAGCGAGTGAGCATGCGCAGCCATAGGCGGGGCGTTTGTCGGGGATGCGCACCTTCCTTGGACTCCGACATTGAAGAACTGGTTGTCGCGCGTCTTGGAGGCGGCGGGCGCCATGGCGACGCTGATGGATCGGCGGGTGTGGGCGGCTGGCGGGCGCGTCGGTGGTGGCTGCGACGCGTGGGGAGCGAGCTTTGGCGGGTTGACGTGTTGCGCATGAGGAGCGAGTGTTTACCGTCGCGTTGTCCCGTCCCCCCAGCTTAGCGGTTGGCCCGAGCGCCCGACCCTCGTAACCACAACCGCAACCCAACCTCACTTCATCTTCCATCCTCGTAACGTCTCAGTATATCAATCGATCGATTGGAATGTCTTAGCGTTTCCGCTCCATCGATCCTTTTGGGCGGCTATGCGCGCATCCGTTCTCACTTTCCTTACTACAGAATCCAGGCGTTTCAATAGGTATCATCGAAGTCGCTGCATAGAGTTTGGATTCAATGAGACGATGGAGTAGATTCGAACTTTCTAAATCCAGAGTCATGCAACCTTATAAATCGTCCATGGCACTGCTCACTCCTACATTGACGCCTTAGCTTGTTTGGTCAAGGCGACTAGCTACGAATCAGCATATATGCAGTGTGTCAGGAGGCAGAAATTGCTGCATTCATGTGCCGCTCGAAGCAGCCGGGGTATCATCTAGTTAAAAAAAAAAAAGAAATGAAGAAGGAGCCCCTCCTACCGCAAAGACCGCTGCTGAGAATTCCACCCGCAAAGCCGAAGCCAGAACGTCCAAACCCCAAGAGCAAAAGCCAAAAACAAAATCCCAAAACCAGACCAAGGCATCACCGCAGGAAGTTCACCGCCGAAGCGGCACCCGAGCCAGAGCGAGAGCAAGAACTAGGAAACCCAAAGCCAAAGGAGACCGAAAGAAACCCCCACCAGGACACATGAGGCCCATCCCCTCCCCTCCCCTCCCCTCCCCATCCCCATCCCCACTCACCCCCTCCTCCCCCTCCCCTTCCTCCCCCCCTTCCTCCTCCCCTCATCCCCCCACGCAATCTTCAACGCCTCCCCCCTCCCCATCAAATCCTCCACATCAGGCGCGTACCAGACCCCCTTCCCTTCTTCTCCCTCACCCACACTCACCCTCTTGAAGTGCTTCCGCACTGCATGCCTCACCCCGCTCTTCCACGTCGCGCCGGCGGGCGACGACGCCGCGGGGAAGCGCGCCGGCCACCGCGCCGACAGCCACCCGTAGACGTGGGCGAACTGCACGGCCGGCCGCCGGGGCGAGTGGCGCAGCGCCGCGGTCTGGGCGGCCCAGCGGTAGCCGGGGAAGCCGCCGGTGGTGGTGGTGGTGGTGGTGGGTGAGGCGGCGACGGCTGGAGCAGCGGCGGCAGCGGGAGCAGCGGCGGCAGGGACGGGCAGCGGACTGGCGGGGGCAGCGGCGGGACTGGCGGCGGCGGCGGTGGTGGTGGCGGTGGGGTGGGGCGGCTGGCCGCTGCCGGCGTCGGGCAGCTGGATGTAGCTGCCGTCGGCCATGGCGGCCAGCTCCCAGTCGCCGAGCGGCTGGTCGTCCTGCTGCTGCTGGTACTGCTGGTGCTGGTGCTGGTGCTGGTGCTGCTGGTGCTGGGGCGGCGGCGACCTGGCAGCCATCATGTTGATGACTGCCTGAGTGCCCTCCTCGGTGAGGACACTCGCTGGGATGATGTGGACTTGGCCACCGACGCTGATCTGCAGGTAGGAGGTGGTGTTGGAGGAAGAGGACATGGTGAGGGCGGATTTGAGGTTGTTGGTGAGGTTGTTGGTGTGAGGTGTGTTTTGTGGTTGGAGATGTGCTTGGTGTGCTTGGTGTGCGTGCGAGAGATGAGTGGGCCGAAGAAGAAAAGGAAGAGAGGTTGCGGCAAGGACGAGAAGTATTTGTGAGCGACCTGAAACTCCGCTTAGCTTAAGCGAGGCAGGACGGTGGCTGAGTAAATGTATCTCAGGTGTGTTCTCCGTGGTGTTGGACATTTCGAGGTGAGGTGCTGAAGGCATGGTATCGTGGTGTTGCGGGGGGAAAGCGTCGAAACTACCCACGAAAACGCGGGGCGTATACAAACTCGACCAAGCGAACCCAATGGCACCCATATCAGGCTTGTTCTGAGCCATTGGCAACTGCGTTCTGGGTCCTGAAGATATGGGTAGCCCCATGGGGTGTTGGTAGCCTCCCTGGAGAACATCCCAGGCACGGACCCAGCCCGGACCCACTCACCCCAACCCCCCGTCAAGACAATCACAACTGCTCAGCCAATGGCTGGCCTGCTATATAATGAGCGGTCGGAATGTCGGGCTTTTGGGGCCCTTTGGCCGACTGGGACTCGGGACCAGGCCTTGCTGCACAGCGGGTATCGCGAGTCCCCAGGACATGGCGGAACCCAAAGGCTCTCCCGCATGGACGCATTAAAGCTCCATAGTAGCTAGCACAACAGTATACCAAGCGTCGCCTAGCAATTCGAATGCCATGGCCTGCTGCCCACGATGGCACAAGCCCTGCGCTTCAAGCGCTGTCACGACGCCGTCACTTCACTCCACCACGGTAGTGACTGCGTCGATACCGCTCAGGCTGACAGCATTGGCATCGCTACCCGCTCTAAGAGTTCAGATGGCTACTTGGGCATCCTTAGAGGCTGGAGGAAAGCTTCCTCGAAGACATCTACTCTTCCAATTCAGTGGCCGACCGGCGCGCGATCGCCTCAACAATGCCTCGACACCAGCGTAGACACGCGCGCAGCGCTTGGTCGCATTTCAAACGGCTCTCCTGGCCGACCGATGATTGTCGCGCTCGCTCTCCGGAAGAGCAGTCATCGTGCTCAGCTGGTCCGCCAGCCTGTGAGAGCGCGCCCGAGCCGCCCCCCGCTGGCCTCTATCCATTAACGGCGGCACGCGTGCGTTCGCTCATGCGCCCGAACATCTCGCCATCAGCGCGAGCGTGCGACTGAGGCCGGAAAGCGTCGCCTCACCCTCAATCCCGCCAGCCAGTACGCCGACCGATCCGGGCGCCTCGACCAGGACGCTTCCACTGCTCCAACCTCACCTCACCTCACCTCACCTCGACCCGTCAGCCCGAAGTCGAACAAACAACCCGCACACGCAAGAAGTGTTTCGTCGGCCCTAAATCTACTTTGCGCACGCAGCCTCACCTTCACGTCCTGGCCGAAAGCGGCGCGCCGCTCACCTACATACCTTAGCCACGACCGGGGATCTTGGGAAACAAATCAGCGAGGACTTCTCCCACGACGTGGTTGATCTCAAAAGAGCGCACGCGACCACGTGGAAATGTACAGCAGACCGTCTGGTGCCTTTTGAGCTACCTCCAATCTATACCAAGAAGGGCGAAATCGCATTGTCTCGGCATGGGAGGCTGTGTAGGAATTTTTGAAGCGGATGGAATATCCATGCCATCGCGGGAAGGCACATCGGACATTCATGTCGATCCCGGCCGCAGTACGTGGTGACACTGGTGATACTGCAGAGTCGAACCGAGCCTTTCAAAAGAATCCGAGAAGTAGGTCCAAGTCTACTTTGGAGATCGCTTTCGAATCTCATCTGCATACCCAAGGGCTGGAGCAAGTGTACAAACCTTCTCAAAGATCTCTCGACCGTCTTACCATCTAACAATCACTCTCAGTTCCACAGCGCACGTGCTCGAACATGCAAGATTCGCCGAATCTTCGTCACGCGAAAAGGTCACATTGGTCTGGGACCGGCGGAAAAACAAGACGCGGTAGTTCTCTTCGGTGGGCAGGTTCCGTACATTCTGCGCACACAACGCGGTTCATATATCTTGACTGAGGATAGCTATGTCTCAGGGACCATGGATGGTGAGGTGGCCAAGCAGTTTGGACCAGACATTCGAAATTGTGTCACAGCGGGTCTCTTGCGGATTCTTCTCATTCCAGATTCGGCCATGACCATCCCTCAGTTCTTCAATCAACTCCTTCCATTGCACAGCTGCCAACGTGTGTAATGCTGCAACATACCGCTCAAACCGATGGAAGACCTGCCGCTGAGTTCCACAAAAGTTAAGACTCAGCATACTTTGGGACCGAAATCCCGTGGGATGACGTTGGAAACAGTGCGGTCCATTAGCCAGGGGAAATGGGCACATGGCATGACATGAGCTCACAGGGATGAGTAGGAATGCCACCAGCATCTGGCAGACATGTGAACCGTGGGAGTAACGTACTCGAGGTACGGGTTATTCGATGATTGGCTTGCTGAAGATATTTCTCCGAGATATGTAGCCATTCACGTTTCTGGTACGTATTTTGCAACATTTCATCTCTTAGAAAACCATCCTCCAATTATTGACCCCCGCCCCTATCCAGTGACGGCGAATACCTCCAAGGCACATTCCGTCCAACACAGCCTCGACGCCGAAGCCACCAAAAGCTCCTGCACTGCCCCCACGAACCATACACCTACCTACCCACCCGCTCCGCCATTACCACCAGCTAACCAGCCCGTCCCGTCCACCGCCCCGCTTTTCACCAGCTCAAAAAACCACTGACGACCCCAATCTCGAATCGCCGACCAATCAGCACACACGGCCCCCATCATGGGCAGGAAAAAAATAGCACCGCCTCGTCAAGAAACCGGTACGCTAACACACCAGCGTACCAGAGAAACGAAACAAGGAAAAAGAAAATAAAAATAACCATCAACAACGGGACGCCGGCGTACGGAACCTAGGTACCCGCACCTGCCGAAAACAACCGTGCATACCTGCCTACCTACCTACCGCGCCCCGCCGCGGCACGAAGCCGATCAACCAGCAGCCTCATCAGGTCCCGCCAACTCCCTCCCCCTTTTCCCCCCCTCCCCGTCCCCCGTCCGCTATTATACGCAGGGTTTACCTTACCACAGCCCGTCCACTTCAGCCGAACTAGGTCGTCTACGCTGGTGCGGAGCGAGCGAGAGCGAGCGAGAGCGCGCGCCGCGGGCGTCTACTCCCGTCGATAGTGCGAACCGAGGAATGCCAACGGGCATCGTAGCCGCGTGGACATGGTGGGTTGACGATTGGACGCGGAGTATTATTGTGGCGGGAGTTTCCCTGCCCGTCGGCAATGGGGTACCTGAGAGAGAGAGAGGGAGAGGGAGAGGGAGAGAGAAGGAGAGATGGTGTCTGATTGTTAGTCTGTTTTCTTTTTCTTGTTTTTTTTTTTTTTTTTGCCCCGCGATTCTTTTAACGGCGGGGCAGTGAGTAGGCCGATGGATGCCGCGCGCTTGACCTGCCTGCCTGCCTGCCGGACGACACGTTCGGATGGCAGCGGGCGGCGTTGATGCGGTGGTTCGAGGTGTGTACGTGTGCGCGCGGCAAGTCGGGACACCTAGGCCGGAGTCTTCTGGTGTGAGAAGAGAAAGCTGCTTTGGCATAACCGGCAAGGCCCACTGGAGGACATTACCATTTTACACGTGAAGAGGACGGCAAATGAGAGGGAGAAGGCCCCGGCCAAGCAAATGAACATGGTCGTCCCACAAGCCATCGGCGTAGTCAACGCGCGACGAGGACGAAATGACGTAGCGCTCGACCGCAGCAATGTCCGGCCGGGAGGACAATGTGGAGTAGTGCGTACTATACTAGTCAGGCCGGCAACGTGAGCATTTCGGAACTCGATTAATCACAAGACCTCTTTCCCTAGGCGCGAAATGGCAGGTAGGCAGATGACATCACCATCGCAGCCGACGGAGAATTAGAAGTTTCCGTCGCACGCTCGCTCGGGTGCATTTCCGTCTCGCTGCAAATCTTGCCTTTTCCGCTTGGACCGTGTAGGTATCCCATTATCGATAGCGCAGCAAGCAACGGGCAGCAGTGGCATCCAGCAGCGAAGAAGTGTCCGGTGAGAAGGCGCTAGGCCCCAAGGAAACAGATAATAAGGCGAGACACGACGGGATGGGCTTGTGTGGAGCAGTGCTGATCACGATGCTGGCCTCAAACGTTCTGGAACGCCCGCTTGGACGGCGTGCTGGGGCCTGCGTTCTTTTTCCGCCGGGGCTTGGATGCTGACGAAAAAAGAAATAGGTAGCCACGTTGTCGTTTCTCGGATTTCTTCGCTTACAGAGTTGATCTCGCCAGTCGAAAGGTGCACACGCCCGTGGTGTTGCGAGAGCCAAGCAGAGGGAAAGCGATGTGTCCTCCTGTCTCACTTTGCAACCCTCGCGTCGTGCTCGCTTCGACTTCTTTGCTCTCCGGCCAAGCCCTGAGGCGCGGAACAAATGGTGTTTTCTCCGATCCCTGCCTGCATCAAAAAAAATGATAATAAAAAAAATCTGCAAAGCTGCTACAAGGAAGGTTTTGATCTCGGAGATTGGTATGTGCATGCACGGCAGCCACAACCAAGGCACAACGGCGACAAGGGGAACTGCCACAAAAGCCACAGCCCTAGGAACACGCCGCAGCCCGCCGCGGCTTAGTCACAACGGCAAACGCCTTTAGCCATCAACTCACTTGACCGGTGGTCCACTTTGGGATGGACCGCTTCGTGAGGAACCCGCGCACTAGACTACCTCTAGAGCTCCGCTGATGACAGCCGAGCCGCCTTCCGAGCAACCCGTTCCATGTGACGACGACTGACCACGACGACGACGACGACAACAACAAACGACGACGATGCCCGCCTACGTCTGTGCTTCCGCCAGTTCGTCCGTTCGCCGTCTAGCAGCACAGTAGACTTTCGCACGAAGGATCCCATAATACAACGAACGCTCCGCACGGGTGCACATCAAAG